CTTGCTTTTCTATTTCCTTTTCTTTTTCTTTTTTCAGGCATACCCCTTTTTCTTTTTTCTTCCTATAATTTTTGTTTGTATTTCTGCTATTTTCTTTGTCTTTATCGTTTCTTCTTTTAATTTATTTTTTCTTCCATTATTTTTATTCATTTTTCACTTTCCTGCGTTTTTTAAAAATTTTATTTCGTTTTTCTCTCTCTTTTTTGGGTTCTTTTCTCTTTTTCTTTCTCTTTTATTTTTTCTTTCTTTGGTACACCCTCTTCATCACTGAAAAGTGAAAATAATTACTTTTTATTTTTCTTTACGTTCCCTTTCTTTCTTTTCTTTCTTTGTTACACTTTTTCATCGGAAAAAATAATTTTTATTTTTACTTTCTCCTTTAAGCCCTTTTCTTACATTCTTGCTTTTTTTTTTCAAGCATTTCCTTTTCTTCCTATATATATATATATATATATATATATATATATATATATATATATATATATATATTTTTAATGTTTCTGTTATTTTCTTCGACTTTATCATTTATTTCAGGGTAAATTACTTTTTCGGCAAAATTTTCGATACCTGACTTTAAAATAAATTTTTAAAAATGAAAAAAACATGCTTGAAGATTTCATTTTAGCTTTAATTGAAAGTTTAATCATTAAATTTATTATTTCCATTAAGAAAACAATTCTGGTGTATTTCAGATAGAAACTATATACATTGGAATGTCAAATTTAATTTTGGAATTTTAAATTTTCTTAATTCCCGCCATTTTCTTAATTTTAAGAAATTTGTAAACAAACACAAATTTATCGATTTTAAAAATATTTAAAAAAAGTTTCTGACACGTTATTTTAGTAAAATTAGAAAATTTAATGTTAAATTAATCTGATTTAAAAGAAATATTACTTACTTCTAGAATAAAAAAGTAATATACAACCAATTATTAACGATTGGTATTGTTATTTTTATCCAATACTTGATCTACGTGTTGATTGACGAGTGATGACAGCTACTACGGATGACCATAAATGAAAATTATTAGAAATCTGAGTGAACGCTTTTTTTTTAGTTTTACTGAAAGGACAAAACTCTTTTTATAATAATGGCAATTTCAGTCTACTGTACATGGAAATACGGACCGTATTAAGTAAAAAAATACAACAAAAAAATTATTTGAAAAAAAATTAGCACCACTAAGTTTATTAAACTTTGAATTTTGAACTCGTAAATTTTGTTTCTACTTAATTACTAATTATCACAAGGAAATATCCTAATACAGAATTTTGTACGATTTTAAACTATTATAAATTATTATAATTAAAATGTAAAACAAATGAAAAATTCTTGTAAAAATTAAATTCATCAGAAAAAATTTATTTCTTCAAGCAATAATGACCATAATATTACTTATTTACAAAAGCAATTAAAAGCTTTTCTAATTAAGTAATATCATAGATTTATTGGATTCATTATTTTTCAATTCAGAGCAGATTTTTAGTTAGTTAATTGCAAATTGGAAAAAAAAAAAAGTAGGTGATTTACCATCTCTAATGACTCTTACTTTAAACAAAAAAAATTTGTTATTAAAAAGGTTTTGAACAAATTTCAGGACAATAAGTAAGTGGGTGTAACATATTTAAAAAAAATATTTTTTACCAAAATTTTCTAGAAAAAATAAAAAATAATTTCATTCATTTGTGAATAAGTCCTGAAAATTTCATTAAAATCGGACAATTACTTGATTTTTACAAGAATTTCCAAATCAATGTGTAATTAAAAAAAAAAAAAAAGCAAAAAAACAATGTTATTTTAACAGCACCGCGATGACGTAAACAAAAGAAGTTTAACTTTCGAACGTGTTATATTAAAAATTTCAAAAATAATTAAAAATAACTTAATAATAACATAAGCATTTTGACGATAAAATTTGATTTTCGTTAAGTTTGTGGCATTTTTCATTACGCTATGCCGTTTTCCCGCGAAAAAGTGGAGGTTTCTGAATCTTCTTTCTTCCGTCTTTCCTCGCAATAAAAACAGAATGATCCATTATTCATCTAGAGGCAATGGCAGGGTGTGAATAAATAGATACTCACCAGAAGACTTCAACGCGGATTAATAGCCTTAAAGTGAGGCTAGCTTGAAGTAAACAAAAGGGTTTTAGCAATTTATTCTGTTTGTTTGTGCTAAGAAGTTGTGAGCAGAGTCGAGGCAAGCTATTTACAGGCGGTACTGCACTTGCTAACTTACTAAGTAACGGAGAGACGAACAGAATTACAATATCCTTATATTAAAACAGGACATATATCTGTTTAAATACTTTTGAGAATTTTTTTTCTTTTCCTACAGAAATATCTGTGTCAACAAGTGTTAAGAACACTTTATTTCTTATGGTTAATGCTTTCTATTTCTTTTAAAATTCAATCCACACAATGAAAAACAAACAAAAATGGCAGTAAACCGCCTGCATCCGGGTAGAAAATGAATTCAGTAAATGTACAAAAATCGAAAGAGATGTAAGACAAGGATGTGTCCTCTCGCCGGTCTTATTCAACCTCTACAGTGAGGCGATTCTCAGAGAATTAGAAGTCCTATTAGGATTCATTATTAGCAGCCACAATCTTAACAACATAAGATATGCAGATGATATAATCTTGATAGAAGATATGGAAATGAAACTACAAGAACTCCTACAGAAGGTAGTGAAGGAAAGCAAGAAGAAAGGACTAAACATCAATCGCAATAAGACAGAGTGCATGATTGTTAGCAAAAGGAACAGACCGACATGCAAATTACAAATTGGATATAACAAAATCAAAACAGGTACAACAATTTAAATATCTGGGAAATATTTTAACAAGAGACAGAAAGTGTGTAACTGAAATCCGAGCGCGCATTGGGATAACGAAAGATGTCTTCCAAAACCTAAGCAAAGTATTAAGAAACAGGAAAATTTCGTTAGTAACGAAGAAAACAGTATTGACAAGTTACGTAATATCAGTCCCCCTATATACCAGTGAATGCTGGACAACCTCTTCACATATGAAGAAAATACTTGAAGCAACAGAAATTTGGTCCTACAGAAGGGTGCTGAAAATACCATAGACCAAACATGTGAACAACGATAAAGTTTTAGAGAAAATAGAAACAAAAAGGTCACTTAAAATCAGAAAGAGACAGCTGAAAATTCTAGGGCATATATAGAGGAAAGAAGGTTTGGTAAATGTGGTACCCATAAAACAGATTGAAGGCAAGAGGGACAGAGGAAAACAATATATAAGCTACCTAGCGAGCTTGAGTAGCAGGGTTTAGGGGGGGGGTAACAAAATGACAACATTTATTAAGAGCTATAAAGAACAGGAAATTGTGAAGAGCCATGATCGTCCACGACCCGAAGGGACATGGTACATAGAAGAAGAATTGCTGGTGCACCATATGTTAGTGGTAATGACGTTACAGCCCTGAAACTATGTCTCATCCAAAAGTCATCATTTGATGAAGGCTCTGTCGCATGAAATTTATCAATCAAATCTCGTCAATTTCAACGTGACTTATTTGCTGCTAAGATGTGCAGCTGGATTATTGATACATTTTCCGGACTAGATTCCAGGATTACGACGGAAGACAATGCAGACGACTTATAAACCAAGGTGATATAGGCAATAATACTGTCGAGGGTTAACATTAAATTCACACACTGTCTTTAATAGCGTTATCAGCATAGTATGATTTCTACTGCTAAAGTGAAAAATCGATAAACAATCACTTGGAAAACAGTTAATAGACTCCATATTTAATCTAGTGCAATTGGTTCGGTTTGCTCCTGTTAAGTCATCTTGTCCCAATGCGTGCATTTTGTAACCGCTAGAAGCCGTAAAAAAATGCGGAGACAATTGATTATAAATGGGGAAACTGACAAAAAAATATGTATATACATTTAGGAGATGACTGAATTGAGAAGAAGAATAAAGCAAATTAATATCTTTTTTATTTTTTAGTTATGTCATAATCCTTAGTTTCAAAATGAAACTTCTGTTTTTTAAATATATTCGTATTTTTCGTAGTTGGTTGTCCATCGGAAATGCAAGCGAACTAAGCCGATACAAGAAAACAAGCAGATGCATTTTCATGTGAGCGAGTGCTACTAACTACCGTTTATTAAAAAGACAAGACAACATGAATAAAAATGAAGGAGAAAGGGTGTTCATTAGGAATATAATAATAATAATAATAATAATAATAATAATAATAATAATAATTATTATTATTATTATTATTATTATTAATAATAATGATAATAATAATAAAATAAATAAGTTTGGTTGATGTAACTCTTCCAATATTTTTCAACTTAGAAAGAAATGTTAATAATAATAATAATAATAATAATAATAAAAATAATAATAATAATAATTTCCTTTCTTATTCTTACTAATCGTTTATTTACTACTAAATAATTTTTAATTTTGGTCTTTTGACTTTCGATGAAGACCAAGTGACAGCAAGTCTCTCCCCCCTCCCCTTCTTCGTCCGTAACATTTTTATTATGTATTTATTTGCATGTTTACATCAGAATTTTGGAGAACGTTGTATCGAATATGTCTCTTTCTCACACTAAAGAAAAAAAATCCACTTCCGCTTTATCATCTTCATAATTATCTTTTTTTCAAATTAACATATATTTTTTTTACTTTTTCTAGCATGATTCACCGTGTAAGACAACATACAGTACTCGACAGGGAAAGTGTGTTTCTATCTTTGAACAGGATAAGCACGCGCCTTTGTGTCTGTGTTTGCGCGCGCGCGCGTGTGTGTGTGTGTGGCGAAGTAGATGTGTAAGTTTGTGTTCGTGTGTTCGTTAGAAACCGCCGTACGCTTTCTAATCTCTTGTAATTCAATGAGAATCTAAGACGAACGGAAAAGGAAATATTCACTCGTGAGCAAGGTAAGTAGCAGTTTTTTCTTGAACTGTCTTTCTTTCTTTCATTCGACTCCCTTATTTTCCTGGACAGATGTGTTCGAGACGGTAATTTCAATTCAAAAATTTATTACCTTAATACACCTGGAGTATTAACTACAAACACTGCCACTACTAACATGGCGTGCTGAGGCTTACTTATTCGACTCTTCAAATAGCGTATCCGATATGTCACATATGAAACCACAAGGGACTGTGAAACTAGAATTACAGAAATACACACTCAACTTAACTGACATACCCTAACTAAAGGTACCAGAACTGGCATAAAAATAGAGTCGCCAAGATGCATTTTTTTTTGTTTAAAACAAATATAAATTAAAATGAGCCAATTACAAATGCTTCAAAAGCATTTTACACCAATGAAATAATCCGAAGAAATTTCAAAACATTTTTCTGTGGAAGCCTCTAAGAAACACGGGAATAGAAGCGAACTTAAAGTGTTCGTTATGATTTTTTTTTTTTTGCAATGATGTTCATCCTTTACAAGGCACGACGGCCGCTCTAGGTAGAGGTTTACTGAGTAAGAGGCACAGTTTATGGGGATATATGTTAAAGGTTAACCTTAGACTTGAACAGGTTAAGAGTGTTGTGATCGGCAAAGCATTCTCATGGGAGTCGGTTTCACAAGACAGAGGTCCGTGGGAAGAAGTAGTTGCTCAAGTGGAACTTACATCTCATCAAAGGAATAGGAAGGAGATGATGATGGTTCGTTGCAATGTGCACAGGATGGCGGGTCCTAACCGTGAAGTTTAAGTCTGGTGGAACATTCCATAGCGATAGAGCATCGTGACGCTTGTGATGTCACTTCTGTGAGAAAGTGGTTGTAAAGTGGAAAATAATTCATCATCCACAAGGACGCTTTTGGGCTCTATCGAGAGTGGAAGGCGAAGACTGGGCGGCACTTCGTTCTCGGTCTGATCTGGCGCTTTATAAAGGTAGGGAATAGCAGGAGGGGGTCAGGTACTTGCGGGAGCTGTACAGGGAACTGACCTTTTTCCAGCATCTTTACCGATGAATTGTATAGGGATTTTATAAGCGTAGCTGAGATGTGGCACAAGGCGCTCAGTGAGGATCGAAGTCACTACTCAGTCGTAACTGTATTAGCGAGACAAGACTGTTAAATATTGCAGTACATCGATATACCCATAACGCATGTAGGAGGTCCACTTGAGGTCTATGCAGGGGTTTTAGTTCCAATAGGCGATCAAAGCATGCAAGAACAAATCTTACTCAGCATGATAAAATTTTACGGACAGTCTAAACCCTTATGAAAAACAACCACATAAAGTACTAAGTATAATCATAACTCCTCTTCAATTCAGCCTGTATTATTACTGTTTTTAAATGTTCTTTTAATTTAATTTAATATATATATATATATATATATATATATATATATATATATATATATATATATATATATATATATTTACGAATTTAATAGGCCACACTACAACATGTTTGACACGCAGACTCACTCTACATCTTTCTGACCATAGCTCAATTAGATCTCTTTTAAACATTCGTGGAGACCTACCGGACACTATTTGTAACATACTTGTTGACAACAGTAACATAATAGCATCGTCTACATGCAAAAGAAAAGGCTAAAGATAATGGAAGCCTTATTAATAAAAAGAAAAAAGAACAACACTGAATAATATTAACTATGAACACGTACACAATATCTTGACCGTGTTTTGAAAAATGAAAACATTTTATAAAACACACGTGCAACAAATTATTTCTTATTTAATAGTAAAAATATTTAATCCTTGAAAATATCTAAATGTATAGCCGAAAGCGCTCGGATAAAAAGAAAATTCAGACAGTTTTTATATAATTTATCATCTGAAAAGAAAAATATTATTAGATCGCATGAGAAATTGTATAAAAAACTAAATCAAAACACCTTGTTTGTCGTATTCAATGAAATGCGCGCGCACACACACACACACACACACACACACACACACACACACATATATATATAATCCTCGTAATATTATATATATATATATATATATATATATATATATATATATATATATATATATAAAAAAAATTTCGAGGATTACTGTGAAATAATGTTTGTTTTTTAAATCATTTCACTCAAGACAAGAAGTAATGTCACCAAGACGCAAGGGGGGTTACCGAGTCTTAGAAAAAATGAAAAAAAAAAAGAAAAGAAAAAAGACTATTAAGGAGAGAGAAGAGTAAAAGAATAAGAAGACAGAAAATAACGATTGACATTGTATTTAAATTTTTGAAGGTCAAAGGTGACTGGTAAGTAAGAAGCTGGAAGAGAGTTCTACAAGCGAGAAGTGCAATAGAAGAAACTGTTGGCATAGAACTTACGGTTACTTCTAGTCATTTTTCAACTGTAAGATGAGACCTTGCCGCCAAATCTAATACTGCGCTTAAATTCTTATTAATTAAAAATTCATGGTATTAATTAACCATGTATATGATACCTTCCTGTAAAAAAGAAAATAATATATATATATATATATATATATATATATATATATATATATATATATATATAATCTACATAAATAAGAAGCACAGGTGGACCATCTTTCGTTTCAGTTATATATATGTATCTCTCTCTCTCTCTCTCTCTCTCTCTCTCTATCTATCTATCTATCTATCTATCTATATATATATATTATATGCGCGGTACTTAGTGAAAAGCGCTCAATATCAGTGATAGAGTTAACATAATAGATGTATGGATATAAGTTTGTGACCCTTGGTTTCACGCTCTTGCGATCATCAGGCAAACAATATATATATATATATATATATATATATATATGTGTGTGTGTGTGTGTGTGTGTGTGTGTGTACTATGGTGAGAGGCGATGAGGGTTAAGTAAGGTAACTTAAAGTTATAGAAAGGAAAATATCTAAACTCCACTACTCGTCAACAAATGCTAAGGAAATTATTAAGAAATATGGTACCTGGACTCAGCTGCGTGGTTAAGGCATTACAAGTCAAAAATTGGATTAAAAAAAGTAAAACAGACAAAAAAAAAAAGAAAAAAAAAGAAGCAAAATAACAACAACAACAACAACAACAAAACAAAATGAAAAAGAAGAATCTTTATATTTTGTACGGATTAGAATTGTTCATTATAAATTTTCTTTGTTAACACTTTGGTTCCATATACGTGAGAGTAAATTTATTTATTTATTCACAAAAAAATCCCTTCTTTTAAAATTTTTTTCTTGAGAAATGCATTGATTGATTCGATTTCTACGGCTTATCAAACTTCTCTGACAAATGGTAATTCTAATATTAACCATTTCCTTAGACGGAAACATTTAGCTTTCATTGACCCAGCGGCAAGTACAGCTTTCGGTTGAAATTTATAAAATCTATCTTAAAACAATTTTCTCAAGTCTAGTAGCTGTTAATGCTCTTTCCGGTGTGGAATGAGGGTGGGAGTTCCTTCATAGCCTTTTATTTGAAGTGGTGTGAAATGTTAACATCTTGATTATACCATTATTTTCTCTTCGAGTTCCATGTGCTATCCATTTTAGTTGTTACTGCCGTTGGTAGTCCTCAAATGATGGGACTTCAGCTATTTAGTACAGTTCTTTGTGATTGTGAGAAAGGAGCTCTTTAATGCTGGTTCATCTCGATATAATTCACATTATAATCATAGTTTCTTTCTCTTTCTTCCCCTCTATTTTCCGTGCTCTTCAGGACGTGTCGATCATGGCTCTCCACAACTTCCTATCTTTTTCTGCTCTAAGTAATTATTGCTCCTTTACAACCCTTCCTACTAATGCTTGGTCATCTATCTTGTTAAGCTGGTTACTCACTGCTTTCCCTTGCATTTCTTGGCTTTCAGTATGTCTTGTGAGTGTTAAATTCAGGAAAAAAAACCTTCTGTCCTAAAACTTTCAGCTGCCTGTTTCTGGTTGCTGGTAGCAGTCTCTTTTCTACTAAAAACTCTGCATTTTACTTTAAAAAAAAAACTTCACGGCATGTCTACGGTATTTTCAACATTCGTCAGTAGATCTACATGTCTATCACTTCAAGTTTCTTCTTCATCTGTAATGAGATTGCCCAGCAATCCCTTGACATAATGGAGCTTAGATATTACATAGCTGTCCAGCAATTTTTCCTTTGTTTATAATGTCATTTTCCGATCTCTTGATTCTTTGCTTAGTTTCTGAAAACCATCTTTCGCTATTCATTCTTCGAATTTCTGTCTCGTTAAATTACTGCAACTATTTGGTTTTACGTCCCTGATACGTAGCTTACACAATGGGTTGTCCCCTTTGCTGAGAACCATTTATTCTGTCTTTTTTAAAATCATTTCACCCCAAGCAAGGCAATAAAGCCACTAAGACATAAGGGGTTACGGAATGTTAAAGAATATGATAAAAAAAAAAACACTATTAAGGAGAGAGAACAATAAAAGAGACAGGAATTAAGAAGACAGAAGATAACAACTGATATTGCTTTTAAATTTTTGAAAATCAAAGATGATTGGGTGATTTTGTATATTTAATTTATTTCTTCGGAAGCACGGTGGCGTAATGGATAGTGGTTTGGATTGAGGAATCGGAGAGCCGAGTTCGAATTCCAGTCGAATCCATTATATTCACTTACGTGTTAATACCCTTGGGAAAGGTATGAATCCTCTTCTCTTTCCCAGCTATGGGTAAATAGCAGAATAGACCGGGTTCTATAGCCTTGGAAGGCAACTAGTCTACCGCAGAAAGAACTGGCAACCTACTGCGCGGAAAAAAAATCTGCCTCGTCAGTCATGTATCGAAAGATACATGATCACCAAACCGTGTATCACGCATGGCACATAATTGACTGACTTCAGTAACATTATCAATGTCAAAATCCTCAATGGCTGTCAGCAACTCTATTGTAAGTTTGTCTTGTTTCTCCCGATGCATTTCTCTTCATCTTGACCACTTCGCCATCTTAACTTTTAATATTGCAGTTCCTTCCAGTGTTTTATTTTATGCAATGCGTATTTCTCTCTTATGTTGTCATGTCCAATGTATTCATTGCATTTTTCAAGTAATTTTTCTTTTACAATTTTGATTGTTCCTCTTTTTAGAATTTATATATCTTACAGAAGAACTTGTTTTATATCCTGGTATGTATTTTATCCTTCTATACATAATTTTTATATCTATGTATGGGTACGTGGCCTAATGGTAAGAACGTTAGTACCCCGACCAGGAAACACGCTTCAAATCTCACTTCTTTATAATGAAGGAGATAGCCATGGATAGCGGTTCGGATTGAGGAATCGGTGAACCGAGTTCGAATTCCAGTCGAATTCATTATATTCATTTACCTACTAATACTCTTGGGAAAGGTAGGAATCCTCTACTCCCCACCCCTATGGGTAAATAGCAGGATGGGTAGCAGCTGGTCTACCGCAGAAAGAAATGGTAACCAACTGCAGGAACAAATCTACCTTGTCAGTCATGTATCGAAAGATATATGATCGCCTAAGCGTGTATCACGCATGGCATATAACTAAACTAAAAGATGGTCATACCATTGGGAAAACTATGCTATTAGGTAGCCCAGGCCTTGTGGGTGAAATTGGATAGATAAATCTGGTCGGAATCTGCTGATGGTTGCGTTGCGTTAATGGGGTCATCAGCTTGGGTTGGCAATCTGTCTAGACGATAAAAACACCCATCCCCCAGCCTGAGACACTCGTGTAGATGTGTCGCTCAGTAAAACTGCACAGTCACTGAAATTCAATCTTTCTTAAATCTTATTTGTTATTTTTATACCTGTTTTCTGCACATTAAGACATTTCTCTTTTTAAACTGATTATTTACAGTTTTGAAAGTGTCAGGAGGACACAAGAGCCTATGATAGAATTATTCGATTAAAAATTATCCATACAAATAAACGGCTAATGCCATCTTTGCTGTGAAGTACAGTATATATATATATATATATATATATATATATATAAAGTTTATCTTAAAAGATATAAAATTATTTTTTAAAGATAAACTTTCTTAATATTGCCCTATAGTTTAGGTATTGAACACTTTTTGAAATCTGCTCGGACTGGTCAATTTCCAGGATCAGTTAGTTATGTGCCATGAGTAATACACGCTTAGGCGATCATGTATCTTTGTGGCCTGACGATTGCATCTATCATGAAACAGATTGTCGCCTCTGTGTTGACTTCTTTGTTCACTTTTATATTTACACACGCTCTATCTCTGATACTGAGCACTTTATCCCATAAATATAGCACCTTAAGACAATATTTCTTCATATATATATATATATATATATATATATATATATATATATATATATATATATATATATATATATATATATATATATATGTGTGTGTGTGTGTGTATATGTGTGTATGTATGTATATAATAGTATAGTTACTGATATTTATTTTTCAATTACAGATTGCCATGTGTTGTAAGAAATATATGACATCTAAAAAGGTATAAAGTATTGTAAAGTTATTGAGTGACAAGAAACACGATGTTGGAAATTGCGAAAAATCGAATAACGATCAAAGATTAATAGAAACCGAAAACATTGGCAAGAATTTTACTAAAAAAAAAAAAAATTGAGAAAACATACAAGAGTAATAAGCAAGAATAAGTAAGAAAATGTTTGAAGAAAATGGTCTTGAAACTTTTAATGTAATTTTTAGTGTTGAATGTTAAGTTGATAGCTGACCGGTTGCGTCATAGGTGAAAATAGGCAATTCAGATGACAACGTGTGGGAGATGGAATGTTTTCGTCTAATATAATCATATAAGTATCTGTCTATATTTCTGAGATGAGCTATTATGATTACTTGCATTATGTACATTATTCGGACTGTTATCTTCATCTTCATTGCCATATTCACAGCGTTTCGGCCGTTGTACGCTTTGGCCTTCTTTACTCACTGGGATATGTGTCCTCAAGGACACATGGCCCAGTGGATAAAGGTGTTGGTTAGATCCAGTGATTAGATCCAAAAAGTTGTGGGATCAATACCAGGCTACAGCAGTGGTGAAGCAAAAATTTGAAGAGTTGAATTAAAGGAAAATAACTGAGAGATCCAGAGGATGCATGGCACGTGGAAATAGAACAATCTACCTCGGTGGACCAAATAAAGGGTTCGGTTCGAAATTCCAATCACCTGAAGAAGGCCGGAGCGTACAACAGCCAAAAGTTGTGAATATGGCAATGAAGATGAGGATAACAGTCCGAATAATGTAAGTAATGTTATAAGCGATAAAAGTATAGGTTCCTTCAAAGCTGATGCAGCTATCAAGATAAATGCAGAGAATTAGTGTAAGTTCTTGAACGAAGCGTTTTTGTTTGGTACAGATGACAATAAAGAAGTATATTTATTCCCGGGAGTAGTTTTTCACCATTTTATGAAGCTGACTATTGCCCAGATTGTCAAAAGTTTTTCAGGGATACCACTTCTATGAAGTGCTTCTCAGCATTTCCAGATATTAATCCAATAGAAAATTCGCAGTTTATCATTAAAAGAGTAAAAATGGAAAGCAATATTAACGTAAAGGAGATCTCTGGGAAGCAATGAAAACTGCTGCAAATAATGTTATTAATCAATTTTACTAAGATGATATTGTCTTACGTAATGATATTTAATATCATGTATATCATAAAGGGTACTGTAGTCGTCTTGATAAAAAAGGCAGTTGTAGACTAAATAACTTCATTTGTAACGAAAGCACCGATATTATTGACATCATCACGTGGGTCAGGACTGAAGCGGTTTGTATTTCTATCAAGTTCTTCTAACCGACCTTTTTCCAGCATCTTTACCGATGAATTGTATAGTGATTTTATAAGCGTAGCTGAGATGTGGCACAAGGCGCTCAGTGAGGATCGAAGTCACTACTCAGTCGTAACTGTATTAGCGAGACAAGACTGTTAAACATTGCAGTACATCGATATACCCATAACGATGAATGGCATGTAGGAGGTCCACTTGAGGTCTATGCAGGGGTTTTAGTTCCAATAGGCGATCAAAGCATGCAAGAACAAATCTTACTCAGCATGATAAAATTTTACGGACAGTCTGAACCCTTATGAAAAACAAGCACATGAAGTACTAAGTATCTCTGACACCAAAAATGCTTTCAACGAAACGACACAGGATGAAAGTAATATACACGACAGGTTGGAATATTTATTCCCTAAAATATAATAAAAATAATAATGGTCTGACTATGGAAAAGCTGCGTCTTTCGATAACAACAGAGTCAGAGTCTAAATGTCTACATTTGTATAAAAAAAGGTAAGTACTACATACTTATCGGCACATCCTGTTGCGTTTTCTAACATTACGCATTAGGCGAAGGAATAAAGACAGTTTCCTTTTGCAAGCATAGGTTTTTAAATGCTGCTACTATGGATCTCGTCTACAGCCAATTATTTGTATCGTGGCCTAAACATAGTACACAACATTACAGACGTGGTCACTCTTTTAGATATGTACCTTTGTGAACTTTAACTTCAAAATAGTTGTTTATAAAAATGCTTATACAGTATGCTTGGTATTTATAAAACCGGTTTAACGTTCAACTTATGAAGTGTGAATTTAACTCTAAAGGTTTTTGTGTAGATACGCTATCTTTTTGTATTTAACTGTTTCAAAAAGTGCTTTCTTTTAGAGATTAAAAAAAATACAGAAGCTCAGTACGTAACGGTGTAACACCGTATCCTCACTCCACCGGTCCCACGCACTTCACAAGACCGTATGGTCCAGCATTACAGGTTAAACACAAGTCTTCGATTCTCAATGTCAATTCGAAGCCACACTCCAGCCACGTTGTGATTGTTTTGATTCTGGAGAGTGGTCATCAGATCGTAGAAATCCTGAAGCTCTCCGTTGGTCAACCTACGAGTTTGTCGGGTGAGAATCGGCTTAACAGAAAAATAAATATAACCAAGTCTATTCGATTTTGAAAGGACAATTTTTTTATATATATAAAAGCAAACACACAAAAAGATAATTCTTGTTGCACAAGGTTGAATGTTTCTTGTATGTGAACAATAACCAAACAAACACTTCGAATAGTTTCGGTAAAGGAGAGATGTGGCATTCGTTTTAATCCATTTTGATCTGTTCTTAGCGCAACTACTACTACCTTCGATGTTCCCGTTCTCTGTAGTAGTAATAGTAGTAGTAGTATTAGTGGTAGCAGGAGTAGCGTTACTTAGATGTTAGCAGCGGTATTTCGCTTCTTCGCCTTCAGCTTCGGCAACACACAGTGGACGCTTCCTTTTCAATATCTGACATCTCTCCACTCAGTTCGACTGCATTCAAAGATAGACGAACCCCAAAACTCTCTGCCTCCTCCGGTTGGCTTGCCTCTTTACTAAGAGAACCGGCTCACGTTTCCCAGACTGGTGACGTATCTGTTTTTCTAGTGAGAATAAACAATTTACTTTTTCATCGACGCTATTTTTTTTATCACCTCGCTATTAATTATTCTGCCGCTCTTTGTAAACTATAGAGATTCTTGTTTAAAAAAATAAATTCTAGATCAAAACATCCTTAATTTTAACTTCAATTTTTATAGTGTCAGTATCCATTTCTTTTTTTAAAAAATTCTAAATTATCATTGTTCCAGTAATTTTCTATTAGTTATCTGATATTCTTTGTACACTTACAAAAAGATTGTATTTCAGAAATTACCTTTCTGTAACATTTACATTTCAAAGTCTTTACAGCATATTAACATCTTGGTTATTCGAAAACGCCTCCCTTTCACTTGGCGTTTTCTGTTTTACAGCACATCCTCCTTTATTATCATTATTATTATTATTTCAGGGGTGATATCGCCCCTGCTACATTGGGGTCATCATAGATCAACTTTTCTTATTGACATTAAATTCGATTAAGACATTCTGGTATTTCCCGGTGTGAGTTATCTATCTATCTATCTATCTATCTATCTATCTATCTATCTATCTATCTATCTATCCCATTGTTATCTTCGATCTAAATTTTTTAAAAATACCAAGAAATATTTTAAAGGAGTTATTAAAGTAGTAACAGAATGTTATCTTAATTCTACTAAATATCAAACTCTTTTATCCTGTGCCTCGCGACCTTATGCAGAAGAAATTACTGGTGCCAACTCGAAGTTCCAATGCAATGCTCCAATCCACTGGACAAAAAGCATTACACAATCAATTCAAGATCATAACTAGCATTATGAGTTGGCCAGCATGTTCACCCGACTTCAGTCCAACTGAGAATATGTGGAGTATACTTTATTGTAAGGTGTACGAAGGCAGTTGTCAATACTATTCAAGGAAAGAATTGAAATAAAAATCTGTACAGGATGCATAGGATTCAGTCGACTATTATTAATTGTATAAAATGGTAGATACCTCGTCAGAAGGTCTTTTCGAGTTATATCTTTCAGAAAGACTTTCTAGTAGTATATGTCTACAATAAATTTTAATATAGTATCAAATCCGCTAAATTCAACCTTTGTAAGTTAAAAATTCAGCTTTTCTTCTGTCCCCCCCACCTGTGATTAGGACACCTACGGTATAGAAGTGTTTGGTGTTCTATGACAAGCATTAATTTCTAGATATCAAATCTTCAAAGAGGCCACCCATATAACCACAACGGGAGAGTCGGGGTGGGGTGAAGCAGACAGATAAATAAAAATACTTCAGGATCAAGTGCCACTTAGCCGAAAAGGTAGGGAGTTCCGGTTGTGGGCTTAATCAGTTACTAATCAGTTGTTAAGGGGCGAAGAGCTGTCCATCGAAATGTAGAGTCAGAAAGCCGCCTGGCGTGATGTAGAAGGGGATAGAGGGGCGATAGGAAATAATCGACACTTAGTGACGGGTGAGAGACGGTTATAGCAGGAGAGATGGCCGAGAGAATTTTCGCTGGCTGGAAGTACTGGTTCTGTCGTGAGAAAAAAAAGAAGTATCCTCGAAGATGTTCCAAGTGTCCCCCATCTACTCCCCCAGGTAAATCTGTGAATAAATAACCGATATAATGAAAACAGAATTCGCGCTTTCTCTTCTTCCGGTGACATGTTTGTTTTTTCTTTTTACTTTGAGCCCTTCCACAATTTTTGTTCACACCGGCGCAAACTGGAATCGAAACACGGCATGGGGTGATTTGCCCGGTCGGTGACAAACTGACAGATGGCCCCGAATGTATATTTACATTTATAAATAAGCACTACACTGTACTAAGCCGAGACATTCAGTGAGGACAAAACATAACGTAACTCGCTTGTTAATTATTCTTTTACAGCAAAGCGCCTACACTTTTAAATACTTTTTTCTCTATTCTATTCATTTTTCTCATTGTTCATTTTTTTTAAATTGGCTTAACAATGTTATATTCTCACCAATTCTTTTGAATTACTTCTTTTCTTTCTCTCGTTTTCTTCCTTTCATTTCTCTCTCTCTCTCTCTCTCTCTCTCTCTCTCCCATCATACTCAAACACACACACACACACATCCACATTTGTATTTCATCTCGGCTTCAGTCACTTTCCTGCTGTAGTAACGTAGCTACCCTGTGCTTTTCCTATAAATATTTTGATGGTAATTATTCTGATAAGCTTCCCTCATTGGTGCCTCAGCTTTACGAGTTTAAGCGCAATACTAGATTGGCGGCTAGGTCTCTTCATTTTACAGTTAAAATGGCTAGATGTAGCCGTAAATTCTATGCTGACAGTTTCTTTCTTTCACACTTCTCGCTTGCAGAAAGCTCTTCCGATCTTATACTTTCTAGTCAACTTTGACCTTCAAAAATTTAAATGCAATATCAATCGTTATTTTTTGTCGTCTTAATCCCTGTTTTTTTATTGTTCTCGCTTCTTATTAATGTTTTTCTTTATTCTTGTATTCTTTCACTTTCAGTAACCCATTGCGTCTTAGTGGCTTTATTGCCTAGCTTGCTTGAAATGATTAAAGCTCTCATTTTGTCTGTCTAGAGATAGGAAGTATAGCCATGTGTAGTTTTATTTATTTCCTGTTATTGTTGTACAGACAAATAAAAAAAACGAAACGAAATATCCTATATATAAAATTATTGTTCATTCACCTCTGGGCATTGTCAGTTAGTACCAGCGTAAGTGTGTGTGTGGCTTTGAGAACTTTCTATGAACGCAGATCTCGCGGGGATGTGAGAGACTTCTATGTTTCTCTCAGTCATCCTGTTTTTCAACGTGTGCAAATCCTAAGAGCAGCTGGGTCTACCACCTGTGTACATATAGGGTGTAGACATCCTGTGATACATAAGAGATTACCTACCAGATTAACCTGTGGACGCACTGAGTTTCTCTGATAGTCTGGTGTGACACTGAATGTAAAGTCTATTTTGGTCTCATCTGGGGTGAGCTTAGTACGTATTAGGATCATCATAAATCAACTTCCCTTATTGACATTAAATTCGATTTCAGACATTTTAGCATTTCCAAACGTGAATCACATTTTACCACATTTCATTTTCTATTATCACAATGTGGAATATTTAATACCTAAAATTCAATAAAACATTAGATAGCGTAATGTATTTTCTCAGTTTTTAAAAATATTAATGAGGGTGTTCACATTGCATTCGTCAAATATTTTCTTTCATTTCTATTCCCCTTACTTAGATTATCCAAACATCAGGCTGTCAATAAATTACTCATCACGTTAGAAAAGCATCCACTCCATTAAAAAAAAAAATTCTTGTTACATTTTAAGTTACAAGTAATATTTGTTTCACTCCAGATTAATTAAACTTTAAATCAGCTAATTTTTCTGAAATAACGTTTCAGAAGAGTATATTTATTTTTAAAGATGTTTTAAAATAGAGAATTATTTTATGTTGACAGATCTATCAATATGGACGGATTTATAGATTTTACTGAAAAGGAGAAAAAATATTCCGATCAATTTTTGAAAGTATTTTGTTTATTGGAAATATTAAACTGTTGGCTTGAATTAAACCTAAAATTAAAGATTCAACAATTTTTTTTTAAACTTTGGTATTGTTATTTTCAATGTTGTCTTTTTATTGAAGCACTCACGCTTGAATTTACCATATTTTAGACGTCCAGAGAGCCCTAGACACATATAATTTTGAGATAAACCCTATTTTTGCAAAATGAGACATGACTATATTGTTGATTGCTCATGCATAGTATTTTATAATGTTTGCTTGTTGAAAGTTAGCCTGTTTCAAAGGCCCGGACAAAATCTAGTGTCATTTTTTCAGCTGACGTTAATATCAGCTGACTGACTTCTAAAAGTTTGTGAGGCGGGAAGTACTTCCCGCTGCTGCTGCTGCTAGCTTCAGTTTTCTTTACACAGTTTTGTCATCAGCATTGGCAAGAGTACAGAACGATCGCACGCACTCAACTCCTAAGAAGACCCAAGCTTTCATTTGGTTAGTGAAATTTTATTCTGATTTAATTCATTTCTTTTCTTCTTTTCACAGCTGAATTATCTGAATGCTCAATTGAAAACTATAATGTATATTTTTTTTAGCTATGAGACATTCTCCGTTTTGATGAGTGACATTGACAATTATTATTACACTACAGTACACTAATTTACCTTACACAACAATAACATTCACTAACTAACATATAATTTTTTAGAATCTTTGAAAAAACATGCAGATTTTATTCTCTTTACTTGGGAATAGCCAATTTTAAATTTCTGCTCGATAAGTAGGAATTTTATAAGTAGCTTGTTAGGAGGATTTTTTTAACTGGAAGGAGTAGGAGCTTGTTTTTGTTTTTTTACAGGGTGGTCTGAAAGTCTTGTCGCTCCAACCAAAAAGTAATTTAGAACAATAGAAGAACATGTAATAGAGTAATACAAAACACATGTACTTGATTCACTTTGTTCACTTTCATTGACGCTCTCACAAATCGAGAAGGTCTCTATGAACAACATAATTTTCGTGTCAGCTATCTGAAATAGAAAAATTATATTATTTAGGTGTGACAAGACTTTCGGACCACCCGCTGGTATGCTGGCTTCGTCGAGTTCGACTTGAATACGTTCTGTTGCTAATCATTTTAAAAACTTTAAAATTTTTTTACGTTTTTAATTAAAATAATTTAAAATGACTTTACTGTATATTTTACGAAATCACGAATACAGTGAGAAATGACTTCCGACTTTTAAAAAAAAACTTAAACAAACTTTTACAATTTAAAAATCTCGTGGACTTTGAGAAAATAAGGTAAATACCGGGACAGACCGGGTTCTATAGCCATGGATGGCAACTGGTCTACCGCAGAAAAAAATGACAACCTACTGCGGGGAAAAAATCTGCCTCGTCAGTCATGTATCGAAAGATACATGATCGCCTAAGCGTGTATCACGCATGGCACATAACTGACTGAGTCCCATTCCATGATATTTCGTTCTTGTGTTCTAGACTAAAAAGCTATTATTATGGACAATAATCCTCAATACAATGATTTAATGAGTTAAAAATAAATCCAGAGAAGTGTAAGAGATTGTTTTCTATGGAAAAAGGAAAACCGGTTTAAATTTGAATCAAAGTGTAAAACTTCAAGAAATAAAGCGCGCACGCGCGAACACACACACACACACACACACACACACACACACACACACACACACACACACACACACACACAAAAACGAAAAGCAAAACAGATCAGTGATATTTGTCTTTTTTATGACATAAAAGAAGGCAGTGAAAACATGTTTTCAAAAGACGAAACTGCTTTTCAGATACGACCTGGAAAGCAAACGTATTTAAAGTGATGTCCCTGCGTGTTAGAAAATAGTATCTATAGTTGGCTGAGTGAACACCCTCTCCCCGAAAAAAATAAGTTATTTATCGCTTATAAGATATAGAAATATTCGATTTATTTTTATGTAAATCAGTCACTGAGCCGGTCTTTCATTTTTGAGAGGCAGATATAAACAAATTTGAAGTTTTATATCAGGAACTAGAAACCAGTAATAAATAAATAAATGCTTATTTTTACGACGAGCGAGGTTAATATGTAGTTGTAGTGTGTCTTTGCCATTATTTTGACGAATTTTAAAAGCGCAATAAAGATGTTGATTCAGTGACTGAGTAAAAACTTCTTTATTTTAATTTTAATACATTATGACTATCGACTCATTGGACAAGTATGACTAGTGCTGACAAGTTAAATCTACAGCTACAGTTTTGAATTCAGAGTTGTCCTTCTCCTAGACTGGTTACCAACTGCGGCTTCACACACACACACACTCTCTCTCTCACACACACACATATGCACACACACAAACGCACGCACATATCACTCAGTGTAATCTCATTTAAACGGTCAAACTGATATTTTTATCTGAATTTTTTCATAAAAATTTCAGTTTAACCGTTTAAATGTCATCACCTTGAGTGAACTGAAATTGGTTCCATCAAACGTGAGAATTAAACGAAAACAGTTGTATAAATGTACGTGTGTGTGTGTGTGCATGCGTGTGTGTATTTTTCTTTACTTGACGGTGCCAAAAAACCTCGTAGCGATACGCACTTTGGCATAAATATGTTTTAAGACTTTTATTTATGCTGCTGACATATTGTCACATTTTACTGAATAATGAATTATTTTACAAGCAACCGGACAAATATATAAACTCCATATCATTGATGTTTATTGTTTATAACATTTCACCAACTCGAACATCCCAAATCGGAAAAAAAAAATCTAAATTCATATAATTTTGAGGTGAGGTGAAATCAAGAAGACGATTACGTAACACGGAGTGAAAAACGAAACAAAACAGAAATTAGGAGAATTTTTTCTGATAGAATATGTAAATATACCACCACCATCATCAGCAGCACCATCAGCACCATCATCCTCACCACTACTACCACCACCACCGTCATCATCGGCAGCAGCATCAACATCATCACTATTACCACCACTACTATCATCATCACTACTACAACCACTACTACCACCACGTCATCATCATTATCATTATCATCACCACCACCATCAATAGCATCATTATCACTATCATCATCATGAATATTACCATTACCATCATCATTATCCCTCATCATCATCATCATCATCATCATCATCATCATCATCATCATCCCCGTGAGTTGGTGTAATTGTAGGATCACTGCGCAGATATTTCCACATAACTCGGTTGCATGCTAATATTTGGATTGCAAGCTGGAGGTGTATTCATTCATGTGTAGAGTGTCTTGCGCAAGTAGAGAAATTTTTATGATGGATTCAGTGTAAGTGCCATAACTACTTTCATTCCAATTCCACATCATTGTCTCTAGAAAGGTTTCCTCTTGGAATACATGGTGCAGGTTACCATCTCTCTCCGAGTTATTTTTTTCCCCTTTATTTTTCTTTAATGCCATTTTTATTATTATTGCAGCTAACAAATTTTATTACTAACTTGTGAGTACTTGATGTCATTTTAATTCATAACAAAGACATTTAAATACTTAACAAGTAATATAATTTTTGTTACTTACTTCTGTGCTTTTCAACAAGGATTGTTTTAATGTGTTTACGGAAATTTTCTTTTTTCATTGTTTTTTTTTTATCATAAGAAAGATAAGTAAAATAACTATTCACGCATTTTTATAAGCTTCTAAAACCTTGAACTAAAACTTAAAATTTTTTTCGTCAAATGTTGTTCAAACCGTTACTGAACTTGATCCTAATTAAACTTAATTAATAACCATTCTCATCCAACTCTAGTGCGCATTTATCGACTGAAAAACATGAAAAGGTTATCCCAATTTAAAGGGTTTAAAAATGGTTAATTCGAACTTCATTTGATAACGCTTCGTTGGACCTCTAATAGAATGTAAATCGAAACGTCCCTTTTCTTAAGCGCTTCCCGATAAGGAAACATTCGACATTCATTGGCCGAGAAGCCAGTGCTACTATCGGTTGAACTTGATAAAATCTTTCTCTTAAAAAACAAAATAAAGCAAATAGGTTTCTCAGGTACAGTAGCTGTTATCGCTCTTTCCGATATTGAGGGCTTCCTTCCTAACATTTTATTTAAAGTAATTTGGAACATCAACATCTTGATTATGTTACTATTTTTCTCGAGTTACATGTGCTATCCATGTTAGTTGTTGCTATTGTTGAAAGTTCCTAAGTGATGTGATTTCTGTTATTTTGTACAGTTCTTTGTTTGTGATTCTGTAGCGCCAGTTGACAATGTTCGAAGGAGGATGGTCTTCAAGATCCATAGACTTCACTCGCTCAAAGTAATTTTGAACTTTTGTCTTAGATTAGCTGACAATTTAAGAACATGACTTAAGTTTTCAGGTTAATGTTTTGGTTTTGTAGCAATTGGTGGTGTTGAGAGAAACTACCTTTAGCACAGCCTATTCCCTGTCAATACTAAATTTGTTAAAAAGTGATCCATACACAGTGCTATTTAGAGTGTTTGGTATTTACTAATTCTACACCCTGAATTTTTATGATGGAATCAAGGTAGATAATATCCCTGCTTTTATTCCAATTCCAGATCATAGTTTCTAGTTTGGAAAGGTTTCCTATTTTTTGGAATAAATGGTGTCTGTTATCTTCCATATCTTTAAATATGGACAATATTACTGGCTTTGAAGATAAGAACATTCTTTTCAAATTTTATCATTCTTGATGCTCACTAGTCAGTCAGTTCTGCGCCATGCGTGGTACACGCTTAGACGATCATGTATCGAAAGATACATGACTGACGAGGCAGATTTTTTCTCGGTCGTCATTTCTTTCTGTGGTAGACCAGTAACCATCCAAGGCTATAGAACCCGGTCTGTCCTGCTATTTACCCATAGTGTGCTTGATTAAATGTACAGTCAGTCAGTTATATGCCATGCGTGATACACGCTTAGGCGATCATATATCTTTCGATACATGATTGGCGAGGCAGATTTTTTCCCGCAGTAGGTTGCCATTACTTTCTGCGGTGGACCAGTTGCCATCCAAGGCTATAGAACCCGTTCTGTCCTGCTATTTACCCATAGTGTGCTTGATTAAATGTACAGTCAGTCAGTTATGTGCCATGCGTGATATACGCATAGGTGATCATGTATCTTTCGATACATGACTGACGAGGCAGATTTTTTTAGGTTGCCATTTCTTTCTGCGGTAGACCAGTTGCCTTGGATGGTAACTGGTCTACCCGGTCTGTCCTGCCATTTACCCATGACTGGGAGGAGAAGAAGAGGATTAATACGAGCCACTATCCATTACGCCACCGTGCCTCCTGCTTAGTAGTACAGTCCCAAATAAGAGACGGAAGATCCTGTTAGACATCTTTTGAAAGTGGGAAATCCTTATTTTGAAAAATCAGCATTCGAAATGCTGATTTTTATCTGGGTTTGTCCATCATTTTGAGTACCTTTTCAGAAATCCGTGA